CATAAAATCCATCAATTCCTTTGACTGTGTAAAAAGGCCATAAAATGTGCAATATGGCGAGATCCCAACAAAAATGGAGGATTTGCAGGGGTCAGGGACTTTCAGCCAATGTGATTTAAATGAAAAGTCTACCCTTTGACACTTAAAAAGTTGGTGAATTTTAAAATACTAGTTACTGATGACTTTCCGAACTTGTAATACGGCTAATAATGTAACCGCGCCATTATTCTATGGCTAGAAATTGGCCTCAATGATTTGGGATCGAGGGGGATTATCCCTCTTTATCCTGCCTCATCTCGTGTAGGCCTGGACAGCCTTCGTAGTTGGGCCCCATCCGTCGTCTACCCCGACCGCAAATGCGGCCGGTGTAGGCGCTTTGTGGGACCTCCTTTTGTCCTGGCTGGGCCCCGCCGGCTAGGGCCCTTTCTTCTGGCGCTCTTCTTGCTTCGCCGGCTCGTCTGTGTAAACCCCGGGGGTAGTGTCATGTTTATGTGTGGTATGGTTGGGTAGGGTAGTGCGGCTATGCAGCCTGGAATAATGTAACCGACGCTGTCTAGATTTTTCTAGGTTTGCGAACTCAAGTGTTAGATATTAGATTTCGAGTAGAACACTTTCTAATACGATTTTTGAATGTTTATAAATAAGGCCTTTACATCTATAAATCGAGACAACCGGCATGTATAATACAAATAATAATTTTGAATGCTGCTCGATATTAACAATCATCGTTAGAAATTCAGGAAACGCGCTTATAAATATTTTTATCAACCATCCTTATTTTTTTCTCACACCCACTGAAAGAGATAGCAGAGACGTTACCGATTCGACTGAACATTATATGAAAATTACCTACGTATAAATTTATCTCTAAAATAAACTTTAAGGGTTATTAAGTATATCGCTAATCGATATCAAAATATTTTTTCATGAAATATAAACTTCAGTATGCGGATTAGCCGTAAAAGTTCTCCCCGACTGAGACAGAGAGAGTCTACCTACGCCACTGATACGATGTCAATACAGATTTTGCTCAGCTGATAAATATTGACGCAAGATTAGCAAACCCCAAAATTCATACGGTTTGTGATTACAAAGTGAATAACAGTATATAAGACATGAGTTAGTATAAATAAAGGATACAAATAATATTGAATTAACTCACTCGTGTGTAAGTGGAACATCAAAACGAGTTTGCTGGGTATCTCGGTAAAAGCAGACCGTTATTATAAGTGGGCGCAAAAAAAAAGCTGGAAACTCAATTCCAACAAGCAGAACCGGCGTAGTATGCAGTCATTGCAGTCCCTACACAGGCCAGGAAAATAAGCTAGAAATGACCATTTCGCGACTTAGTTTCGGCAAGCTGAATTTATCACTATAGATGCTAAATATTATGTACAATAACATATTAGTTTCCACAGTCATAAAAATGGGGGGAAGATTGTTTACAGGGTTTACAATATGGTAAAAAAGTATATAAAATATGTACAATGCTGGCACACGCCGTTTAATGGCGATACCAATTAAAATGTTTCAATACCAACATCGCTTATAAAGCCACTGTTAATTTATTTACACAAGAGATTTTATTGAAGGGTCGCCATCTGGTATTTTCATTCCTAAATTTGACTAGTTGTCTATCTGTATAAATTTCTTGGTAAATGTGACGTAAGAACGTGAAAAATTAAATTTAAAAAGCAGTTCTTTGTATCATAGTAAAAGTAAGCAGTAAAGATCACGAGATCGTATAAAGATAATATAAATGGCATGAATTTACCTGTACTAGATACTAGAACCGTCCCTGACCACTTGATCAGGTAAATAGAAATACTACGTGAATACTACATGCATTCTAGGATAGTAGGATATATAATTATAAGAATTATTATGAATGTATTACATCTAGGAATAAAATAAGTCTTACGTACAGAGTAGGTTAAAAAGGCAAATGTTAATTAATTCGGATGGTGCGGACTGATCCGAGCAATGAACTGAATTTAGTTTTCTTTCAAAAATTTCAAGTTTTGCTTTGGCTTATAAGATGAAGATAAAAAACGAAAGAAAAGATACAAAAATTGTTTTTTTTCCGTCTTCATTTCAAGTGAAAAAGTGTAAACAAACAGAATTAAAATATTTAAGTATACAGGGTGGTCCCTAGGTAATGGGCCAAAATTCATGGGTAGATTCCCCAAGTAAAAATATTGCGATTTAGCCGACTTACCTTAGTCCAAAAGTTGATAGTTAAAGAGATACAGGGTGTTAAAAGTAAAATATTATTTCAGTTTTTTTTAATTTATTCCTTAACAAATGCAAATATCCTCACAAAATTTTGGGGATTGGAGTTCTTTGAGTAGAGGAATTGAAATCTGTTCACATTTTGGTTAAAGTTCATAGAGGGCGCTAGCTGCAGTAGATTGAATGTGTTAAAAACGACATAACTTTTTTGTACTTTAAGGTATCTCATCTTTGGTATCAAATTCCTATTTTCCAACTTTTTTTACTCAAAAAAGGTGAACTTTATGAAAGTGGCTGTCTCGCACCGTTTTTGAGATATTTGGCTTTGAAACTTCCAATGCTGTTGCATTAAATTACAATTAAGTACCTACAGGTATTATTAATTTAGCGGTAAAGTTTCTTAAGTAGGATTTGGACGAAAATCAAATAATTGACGTCTTCCACTTGTCTTATTGCTGTCATTTGTATGCTAATTTCTATTAAGTATTATTCGTATTTAATTAAAATTACATCTTATTGTTAGCTTACAAATTAATTGTATACTCGTATACATAAATGTAAGATAGAATGCCGAGGTTTTCGTTTTTGGAGTTACATGAAATCAGTTGTTTATGGTTTATAAACACTTGAGAAGAACTTTAGTAGCAGGTTTTAAATGCTACAAAGTCATTTCGCATTAAGGATGAAGAAGAAGACAATCTTTTAATAGCAATTTGAGCAATTATTGTCAAAAAGGCATATTTTTTACTAATGTTTACTATTTTACTGCTCATTACAATTTCTGATTCCAAATAAACCCTTGTTTTTGACATTTCTAAATTATTTTACTTATTTCAACTATTAGCATTGGAAGTTTCAAAGCCAAATATCTCGGAAACGGTGCGAGACAGATATTTTCATAAAGTTTACCTTTTCTGTGTAAAAAAAGTTGGAAAATAAGAATTTGATACCAAAGATGAGATACCTTAAAGTACAAAAAAGTTATGCCGTTTCCAACACCTTCAATCTACGGCAGCTGGCGCCCTCTATGAACTATTACCAAAATGTGAACAAATTTCAATTCCTCTACTCAAAGAACTCTAATCCCCAAAATTTTGTGTAAATATTTGCATTTATTAAGAAATAAATGGAAATAAACTAAAATAACATTTTATATTTAACACCCTGTATCTCTATAACTATTAACTTTTGGACTAAGGTAGGTTCGCCTAAATCGCAATATTTTTGCTTCGGGAATCTACCCATGAATTTTGGCCCATTACCTCGGGACCACCGATATAACATTTAGACACTTAAAGTTGTATAATTTTTTTATATATCGTTTTTGATTATACAACCTCTATAATTTAAAAATTGATAATGTGGAAGAATCTAATGGAGTCATATATCTTGAAAAGAAATCAGATCTCAAGAGTTGAATTAATAAGATGCTACAATTGAGTGACTTGATTTATATTATTTTTGAATAAATATTGTGTAACAATTGTGCAATTTGGAACAATTCAAAATATATCAACAGTATTTACTTATCTCTATCCCTGTACAGTCAGAAATATCGTGTTTCTACACGATTTCCTTATCTTAAGGAGATAATGTTAAGGATAACGTTATAGAATCCCTTATGAGGATATAGGTATGCAAGGCACATGACTAATATAATTTTGATAATTATCATTGAACATTTTAATGTCAGTATTATATAGAATTGGGTAAATGTGTCCGAACATCTCTCCAGAAGTCTTTGCACATTTTTTGTTATTATATTCAGTGGCGAACTTTGAATTCCGAGTGTTAACATATTTTTCGATATAAACATCAAGGGCAATTTTTTTAAATGGACGACACTTTCGATGACACTACATATATATATGCTTTTTCAACAATTACAATGGTACAGGGTTTGGTAGGTGAGCAACTTTATTTCCTAAATATTAAAAAAACTATTATGAAGTTGACTCCAAATGTCTCCACAAAAATTATTATATTTCTTAAATTTCTAAGCAAAATAAATCTTCGACATTTATATTTTTTGGGTAATGTACCACTTTATATATTTTCTGCGGTGTTGGTCTGTCATTTATTATCAGAAATAATTTAATTTTAAAATGTTGAAGTGAAAGGTCTCTCAAAAAAGACTTTATTTTAATTTCAAAGATATCAGATATGATTTAATTTAAATAACTTTAAAAAATAAGTTAATGGTGATGTAGATACGCAAACTAATTTTAAAGAGCTTACATAAAAAAATTATTGCAACGAATAACAGAATGTATGTCAAGTTTATGTCAATTAAATGACTTGGCATTCCATTCTTGGAAAGTACATATTGGATATGTGATATTGGAAATATTCTAAAACAAATTTCATTTCAAGTTTTTAAGAGATACATCTCACTTTTGGAAGTTTCCGAGTTGCAATATAGATAAACCCAGCAGTAAATAATGCATAGATAAGCTTTTCGATTTTATCTAGATGGGTACTTAGATATTAGGTATATGTAATACTATGTAACACTATCAAATCTCAATTCAATAAAAAAGAATGCCGCTGGAAACTTATGATATGACTCACATATACATTTTTTATTAGGTACTTCAGTTAAAATTTAAATACCCATTTAGAGATAAATCATAAGTTAAAAAGAGACTTGTTTACATGATTTTGATAAATTCATGAATCTATTTTTTTTTAATGCCTAGTTATTAAATGGAGATACATAGTATCAATAGTTTTGCACATTATATAATCAAAAAATATTAAATACTTACAAATGTGAACAGCTTAATAAGCGGTGAATATATATCCACACTGTAAACTACATTATCACTGTCAGCTGATTTAAAAGCATTCACTAAATCCGATAAACATAAGATGGAAAGAATCCCGGTAACAACAAGTTTGGATATATTTAACCAGTTCCACGGTATATTTCTTCTTTTACTTTTAATTAAGTAGTACACTTCTAAACTAGAAAACGTCCACAAAAAGAAACAGGGAATCCACACTAGCACAGTTTTCTCAAAACATTTTGTAAAATCCGGATCATTAGTATTCCATGTTAAATTAAGATTCTGCAAAATAAAAACTTCATTTAAATAATTTTATAAAGATCAATATAACTTTTTAAAAATATATACACATCAATACAGACATAGCATCCACAAATAACTAGTAAATAAATCAATCGCCAATTTAAAGACAGGCTGAAGGTTTAATTATATAAAAAACTGTATTAATAAAAAGAGTCTTACCCAAAATTCGCCGCCACAGAAATTATCTAATGTAGAATTCGCCATTTTGCGAGTTTAGGCAACAGCTTAATTCTTTGCTAAAAAATGAGAAGATATTTTTAATCAAGACCTTGTATATTTGTTTTAAAAAAGTATAAATAAAAACTTGTGATTATCCTCCGGTTATATACTTTTCTCATTTATGTAGCAAATAAACCGATAAATTTTCTATAGTCAATCAACTTATTTTAGTTCTAGGTACCGAAAATAAAATATTATGGATTGAATTAACACCGACCGACCACTACACCTTGGAAAGGTACCTTTCTAACCAAAACCAACGGCTATTGACAACTGAACTGACGGACAAACTAATGGAAACTGGTTAATTGAGAATACGCGCCGGCGTACTGCTAGCGTACTCCTTATCTGATGACGCAAATCGCAAATCTACTTGTCAGTTGTCACAAACAGTGAACTTATGTATGTATGTGGACATGTGGAATAAGCAATAGTTCATAAAACTTAAAACATATGTTTTACTCTGAAATTCTGATCCAAAATGCGTTTTTCATGTCTATCATTTCATTTAACAATTTAACATTGCATATGATGAGCATGGACTCAAAAAACGCGAGCGTCAAACAGTCAAATGTCAAAAATGAGTCCTTTTGAAGCAGTCAATAGACATTTTAAATCTACGGGAGTTTTGTGCGCAGTGATAAAAACTGGTAAACTAATCTACCTTTTCCTTCTAACATTATTACGTTTCAGTAGGGATTTAAGAAAATTAACTCGTAGTGATCTAGTCTAGACTTGGTAGTGTCTCTCTTTAAAGCCATAAGAGTAACAAGGACAAGTGAATAATACTAATAGTATTGGTCGAGTACCTGGAGAAAATTTCCTAAAGTTGTTTATTTTCGTATTTGTGTTTTGACATTTGACAGATTGATTAGTTAATTTAGTTAGGTTATTTGTTTTACAGAACAATTCCAATATTTCCAATGGATATGAATATGAATTAAATAATAAACTGTGCTACTAATAGGTAAGTAGATAGGTATAGTTATTAGCAAAAGATTATTGTTACATAGGTAGTATAATAAAATTTAGAACAACTAATCTTATGAGTAGAATTGTAACACAAGTTAAATGACAAATAACAATTTTGGTTCCAATTTTATGTGAGCAAGTGCCCAAGATAACAACCCAAGACGTAAACATTCTCAAATTCTTATTCAATAAATATAGTTTGTTTAAAAACACATACCTACACAAGATGGGTCAATCAGAGTTTGGTTTATATTTGTATGACCAAAAACCTAGCACAATGTTCATACATTTTAACGACTGAATTAATTAAAGCCGTCAGTTTTAGTTTACATATCGAAATCTAACTGGATTTTTGTTTTTTGCCTTTACAGTTCAAGGTTAAACTGTGAAAGGTGTGCATCTGTTTACCAAGGATGTGACTAGACTAGGTATAAGTATTTTTTAAATACCTAATCTCCCTATTTATTTTGGAATTTGTAACGATTAATAGGTACATCTACATAATTCTAAAAACTTGTATAGGTACATAAATCAAAGTATGTCACTGTTATCAGCCCGTAGATACCACGACATATCATTTTCCATTAAATAATATACAGGGGGACGCGAAGAAATTAAATATCCGGTTCGGAATCCAATTTTAAATAAAAAAGTTGAAGTAGGTACCAATTTTTCCTATTGAGTTTCATTTTTCAGATAACAAGATTCATAATTTTTAAAGATAAAAAATTAAAATCTTACCAAACAAAATCATTTAACCAACATACAAAAAGAAAACACATTGTTTTCCATACTAAGCTGATAATTGACAATTGTTATTTATAAGATCTTTTTAGTATTTTTTGCGACCCAAACCAAATGGCGAGCTTGAGTTTTCTTTTGTTAGGAGTTACACAGAGTTAGCCACTTGACAGATTCACAAAATTATAGTAACAATTATTTAAACCATTATTAATACCTATTTATACATCCAATCAGAAACACAGCCTATAGGTATGCATACATACATATTTATTAAACCCATTGATTAAAAAATAATTTCAATTATAAACACGGTTGTTAAGTTATATTTAATATTATGCAATTCCACGTGTTAATAAAAAACCAAAACCCGTTTTTCGAGATTGGTTAAAGTGGTTTTTCGGTATTTTTATAACAATCAAAGGTGATTTGTTCGGACAAATTAATAATATTCAAAATGATCTTCGCGCGCCTCTTTGCTCCAAGCATTCAACATTTCTACGTTTGACCTTTCGTCTTACATAACGAATTTGTCAAGGTGAATGAGCAAGTTAATGTTTGACTCGATGAAGATGACTGAATCCGGATTCTTTATTGGCAAACTATAGAGTTTAAAGGACGGTACAAAGGTTAAAAATCCGCTACGCTAATAGCAAACTATATGGTGTTCTTTTACAGAAAAATAGCGCAATATAAAAGCCTAGTTTAATATCTATTGATTTTTCTTATAACCGCGTTCTATCGATTTACATGTTTAATTATTTATATAACAAGGTTAATAAATTGTTCCCCCGAAAAGAGATCGTAATATTTATATCAACATCCAACGCTTTTTGCAAATTGCGTAATTTTCGAAAACTAATAATATCCGCGTTCAACTTTTTATTTAATATGATTTTAGGTATCTTAAATTGTAGGTAATTTAATTACCTACAACGTAAAACGACAAATTTTCCGATAGGTCGTCTAGGTATTCGCGGGCAGTAAAAAAAGTGAAAGAACACCTAAATTTGCCACTTATTTTTGCAATTTACCAACTTAGATTCACTTCTTTCGAGATACTTTTTTGGTATTATTATTCTACATACCTTTCCCCGTCCTAAAGCGCAATCAAAAGTCTACTAATAATTTTTTCAAACTCTAATTCGACTGGAGTAAAGAGCGATTGGACTATAATTGAACTAAATGTTATTGATTTGTGATGTAGTGTATTTTTCTGTTGTTCCAATAAAGTAATTCTTTATAACGCAAATGCGGAAGATCAATAAATTTGTATACGATATTCTGTTTACGGAACTCATATAATTTCGATATTACTGGGATTCACTTTCCTTTTTAACCATAGAAATAATTGTTACTAAAAAAAAGGGCAGAAGTATTTAAATTTAAATAAAATTTTTGTTACCAATAGGAAGGTATTGGGATAATAGAAATAATAAGTTTTAATTTTATTTAAATCACTTTGTCATAGTTACTTAGATCCACCTTGTACATAAATGTTTGATAGTGTCAAACTTGATAAGCGTAATATATAGGTTTTATGCATACTGAATGCTGAAAATTGAACGTTTGGACATTGCAAAAAGTTGTGCAACATTATATTACCAAAGAAACTATTACATTTCATTTATCAGTTTTGATATACAACGTAATGTGTTAAATTCTTTTACAGCAGACAGTAGTGTACCATGTAACCTAAATATAGATTTTTTTAAATTCGAAATACTACATGAACCTTGAAATATATGTATATATTTTTAAATCATTGCTATAACCGTTTGGTCTATTAGAAATCTATTCTTCTATAGACCCACCCATATAATTAATTATTCTTCCAAAACAAATTACTTTTTACTTTCCAGTGAATGAGATATTAAATGATGCGGAGCAAATTATAATCTGGTTAATAAAAATACGCTATTAAAGTCATTGAAATGGATGTACAGGGATGGCCAGATGTACGGAATAAAATTCATATCTTTTGAATGAGTTAATTTTTTTTAAAACGCCGAAACACGTTAACTGATTTTGAATTTTTTCCCATCTTTCGGTTATATAATAATTCATTTTTCTTCAACCCTCTAACCCCCAGCTACCCCTACTTTTTTTTTCAAATGGAAACATAAGGCATAAGGGGGCTCGTTGAAAAGCTTATAGAAAACTGAATCCAGCCATACCAAATAAACAAGTTTTATTTTTTCAATAGCAAGTTTTTTTTCATTTAGAAATTGAAACAACTAGATAATTTACAAAAATAAACTCAATGTCGCAAATGCTGAAAATGCCTTCCATTCACTCTTTGGCATTCTCCAAGACGATAGTAAAAGCTGTCCACAGCATTCTGAATGACTTCAGCTGGTAAATTATGCATCTCCGCTTGTTCTTTAAATTCTCAATATTATCCGGTCTGTTCTGGTAGACTCTTTCTTTCAAATATCCCCAAAGAAAATAATCCAGGGGTGTTAAGTCGGGGGATCTTGGCGGCCATTCAACTGTATCCCGTCTACCAATCCCGCGATTTGGAAACATTTCATCTAAGTATCTTCGAACACAATACCAAAATGTGGGGGAGCGCCATCTTGTTGGAACCAAATAGAGCAGGTATCAGGTCAAATGTTAGGAAATCCAGGTAGCGTACGGCAGTAAGATTTTCTTCAAAAAAGAATGGGCCCAAGATTCTGTTGTTGATGATACCTGCCCATACATTAAACTTTCTGTGGATGCTGCGTATGCGATTCGCATGTCCAGTGTGGATTTTCCTGGGACCAAAAGCGATAGTTGTGCCTGTTAACCACTCCATTTAAATAAAACGTAGCTTGATCCGAAAAAAGTACGTCTCGTTGAAAACCATTATTCTCGTCACACCGTCTCATCATTTCCTCACAAAATTGTAATCGCCTATCATAATTGTCTTTCAAAAGCTCTTGGACAAGATATACCTTATAGGGGTGGTATTTCTCTTGTTTCAGAAACATTCGAGAAGCATCGTGATTGCGGGCCAATGAAACAGTTGAAGTATGAGGATTTTCAACAAGTTCTAATGCAATGTCTAATTTCTTTTCTTCATTCAAAGCACGTGCCCGTCCAGTTTTGGGCAACGTCTGTACTGTACCGTGTTCCTCAAACTTGTGAAATATTTTACTAACTGTCCCTTGCGAGATTTGGTTTTCGGGATATTTCGCATTAAATAAATCGCGCACTTCAGCCTGACTTCTTATTTTGTCTCCACATCCAAGCAATATCAAGATTTCGATGCGTTGCCTTTCCGACAATACCATTGCAATTCAGTAAATAAATTGATTTTGACACAATAGTAACGCTTCGAACTCCTATTTACAACTAAAGCGAAAAATTAACCAGAAAGTCTGGCAAGTAAGAGGTGCCAAAAAAAAACGCAACATAAAAAATATATCTTTTTTGCGTTAGCAGCGATAGGTACAGTTTCAAATTCTTTATTTTATTCTGTGCAAATTCGTGAAGGATAACACTGAAGATAATTAAATTTTATTTCACTTGTTAAGCAGGTGTTTTATACAACCCTAAAAACCTTGCTATTGAAAAAATAAAACTTGTTTATTTGGTATGGCTGGATTCAGTTTTCTATAAGCTTTTCAACGAGCCCCCTCATGCCTTGTTTCCATTTGAAAAAAAAAGTAGGGGTAACTGGGGGTTAGGTGGTTGAAGAAAAAATTATTATATAACCGAAAGATGGGAAAAAATCAAAATCAGTTAACGTGTTTCGGCTTTTTAAAAAAAAGTAACTCATTCAAAAGGTATGAATTTTATTCCGTACTTCTGGCCATCCCTGTATAATTTTTGATAAGATTTACACGCGAACTATGTACTAAAAAATTATATAATTTCATTAGATATTAGGTCGTTATTACATCGTTACATGTAGATAAGTGGGTACATTAATTTTATTGAATAGATTATTTTACAAATTAGGAAGATTACAGTTTACCTGCCACTCATTAGATATCAGATGCACTGGTTATCAAAATTATTAATAATAATCATATCGTGCTATCAATTCAGTTACTAGAAAATAGGTTAAGGTTAAGTAGAAATAATTCTCGTAATTTAAATAAACTGAAACAGTTAATACAAATATATTTATTTATGTTTGTCTAGAATATAAGAGTAGCAATACACGACTGGACTATCATTTTCTACGTTAAATTCTATAATTTGTATTCCTTTTTTTATTTTGCAACCTTGACATTAAATTGAGGATGGGAAAAATCGTTTGAA